CTGACCAGACGATCCCCGACTTCAGTTGGCAAGGCTGCGCCTCCAACGCCTACAATGTCCATTTCTTGGAGCAGCTCCAGTCCTCGCTCATCAGCCTCCATCATCTGAAGCACATACGGGACGGATGAAAAGTACTTGACCTTGGGAAGCCCTTCTGTCTTTGCATATACTTTGGCCACATGCAGACAACTACAAATGTTGCGTGCTGTAATGGGCACATCTTTGCCTGGGAAAAGCCAAATTAAGGCATTACTTGTCCAGCATCTAAACAAATCTGCGATTCCTCCATGGTAGAGCGGCGTCGTAGTGAACGACGCTACAGCCGGTATCTTGGGAAGATGCGGAAGCACGCCAATGGCTGCGCGATGTGATTGAGGGATGGGCTTTGGGAGGCCAGACGAGGTTCCAGAAGTGTGATGCAAATATGCAACTGCTCCCTGATCGACATGTAGTGGTTCAATGCTATCCTTGAATTGTTCTTGAATAACCTTCCAAATGTCTTCCGAAGCACTTATCGGTAGCGGCTTTGCTTCCAAAGCGGAGAGCCCTTGCTCTTTTGCTAGTTCCTCCGACTGATCCGCTCGCTCAGCATGGGCCTCGTCGTAAAGGAGAACTGACACCTGACACGAGGTGCAAAGATGCAATATTGCAGCCGGCTGACATTGGGGGGCTACGAGTAAGACGGCATGTCCCAGCTTGATCAAGCCTAGCCAAGTGAAGAGGAATTCAGGAGAGCTATGGCACAGTAGAGCAACAGTCTGTTGTTCTCGTGAGGGGCCAAGAGAAATTGCGAGGCGTGCGGCAAAGACACCAACACCATGTTCAACGTCTGCAAAGGTGAGAACTTTGTAACTCCACTCCTGCTGATCTAGTTTGGGGATGGGGAAGCCAACGGCAGGGAGTAAGGGGTGGTTATAGGATTGCTGACGGATGTAGTCGCTAATATTTCGGTATGACTTCGGTGTAGTGTTCAGGGCAGCCGCCTGACCCAGGGTGCAGACAAAGTAATTGTTTTGCATTGGAAAGAGGGCCGCCAATAGGCGGAGAGGTTATTGTGGAGGGTTGCAGTGTCGATGCGCCAACCTGAGAGAGTGCATGGGAATGTGTGTAAACTTGCACCAGTCTGAGGTGAATAACAGACCAAGTTTGAGTCGTGACATCATCTCGGCCGGAGAGGCAGGAGCGACTCTGCAGCCGGTGCTTATGGAGAAAGCTCCAATGGGAAGTCGGCATAATACGAGCCCCAGATATAGCGGGGTGCAGTCAAAGGGTAAAATTTGAACCCCAGGCAGCCAATTATTGGCTACAAAAACAAACAGCAGTGCACTGTGGTAAGGGACTGCAATGCCGCATGGTGGTGGTGGTAATGATGATTGTGTAGGGTGCACGGGCCACATGTTCGACAAGCTGTCAGCGGTGGCCGTGTGTGCGTGTGCTGATTTTTTCCATTGGTTGTTTTTCTTGCACCCTAAGTGCACCCTAGAGTACGACTACAGCCGAAAGAAGGGATGGTTGCTTTGACTGAGGTCGGGTTCGTAGGGATTCCGCTGCGTGGAGCACAGAGCCCCACCCGTGCGATCACTCCACATGGGCTCATCTCACACGACCAGTGTGAGTGTGAAGCGATTGTTTGCGCGGGCATGCGCATTGTTTGCTGGCAGAGATATCGAATAGTGGGTGGCTGGCACATCGGCAGAAGTGAGGGGGGATGGAGTGCCGTAGCGCCACGATCCAGCCACGTAACCGGCTGGCGAGGAATGCATGCGTCACGACAGACTACTGCGGTTCTGGGGTAAATGCTATCCAGCCGCATCCAATGGCTGCATGTGGACGCGCACTGCCACTGCCACACCCCACAGTCACCGCCTCGGGGTTGCGTGTGCTGCTCTACACCTGGATATGCAGGAAAGCCCAAGTATGTAGGTACATGCGGTTCCTTATCTGGACGAGTGGCATTCGGTGTGCTGGTACCATGGGCTGCAGTGCTTGGCAGCGAGGATCCGCAGCAGCGTGTGGAGATGAACCCTCAGTCGGTGTAAGTAGACTACGGCGACATGGCCATGGCTCGACAACAGCAACAATAACAATAACAAAACAGCATGCGTCGTCGATGGGCAATCTGGGGGCACGGCGTGTGATTGGGCGGGTGGAATGCGCGGTGCATCCTTCTTCTGCGCGGGCCGAGGGAGGACATGCAAGCGACCCAGCAAGGTCGGGCAATACGCTATTCATGCTAAGGCTGGTTTGGCGGCAACTGGTTCAAGCGACGTCGGCCCACCCAGGTAGGCAAGTAACAGCAGCGTTACGGGCAGGCTCCCGCAGCCATGCATCTTGCCTGTGGCTTGTTGTTTTGCCTACCCGTCTCTGCTCCCACTCTCGGCCGCCCAAAGTGAAACGGCGCATCATCTGGCCTGACTCGGCGTGGCAGACGTCCCGGTTCTTTTTTGTTTTTTTGCAGCGTGCTGGTGTGGTGCGGGCGTGGAGCTCGGGTGTGTCAGTAATAGATGGGGTTTGCACAGCGGATGCAGAGCACGGCCACTGAGCAGGGATGCAGCGAGCCATTGATTCTCCGTCGCCAACCAAGCAGCGCAACGCACTTGGGCCGGCGCGGCATGGCACCGTCAGATAGATGCACATTGGGGCCTTGGGAGCGTCACTAAGTTACTTGACAGTGGCAGACACGCACACGGGCGGTTGGGCGGGGTCGCCTTGGTCCAACCTGCAGGCGCATATCCGAAGCGTGGCGGGTTTGGCCACTGGCGACACCTGAAACCAACGCGGCCGTGTAGGTGTAGTACACACGTCGTCACCATGCCCCAACGCGCAACGCCGCCGTATGCCTCACCGACATGACCACGGCCAACCGAGTACAAAGAGCAGCGGAGCGGCGGAGGAGCGTCGAGGGCGAGGGCGAGGGCGAGGGCAGCCGGCAGCGCCGCAATGGCCCATGTGTGTGTGTACTAAATGAGCAATTTCCTGGCGCGCAAAAGGGCAACTGGCGAAAGATGCCCAGGTCGACTTTCCGCCGCGTCTGAGCGTATCTTGAAAACAATGGCCCTAGCTTGTAGTAGGCAAGCACGGCCGACTAGCCGTCTTCCTCCAGCCCGTGCGTTGGAGCATATATTCCTGCTCCCCCCAGCAACAACACCCGCCTCTGCTATCCGTTCCACCAAATCAGCATCATACATCCCGCTGTAAGTTTCCTCCCTGTCGCCCCTCACCTGCGCCAATACCACCTCTCCGCAAAATTGCATGCGCAATTGCTGCTGTACACTTGGCTCCCCGTCCTGCTCTACTCACTCCTATCCCTCTACCGGCCATCCGCTGACGCCGCTCAATCTCAGGCATTGATACTCTTGCTCCCATCCACAAAAATGCGCTCCGCCACCTTCATCGCCGCCGCCTCGGCTCTTGCCGGCCTCGTCTCCGCGCAAAACACCACCTTCAACACTCCCATCCAGTGCTGCTCCGTTCCCGCCAACTCGGTCGACCAGGACGACAGGCAGTCATGGTGCCAGGCCAACCAAAACACCTGTGTTGAGCTTTGCGGTGGTCGCGGCTCGCTTGCCAGCAACGGCAACCAGTGCGATTCGGTATGTCGCGTGTCCCGTCATGCGCATACCAAATGCTAACACGACGTGCAGTCCACTCTCCAGTACTCTTGCAAGTGCCGCAACGGTACCGATGTCACCAGCGTCATGGACCAGTACCAGCAAACTGTCCCCGGCCAAATGTGCCTTGTCTGGTACAGCAACTGCATCTCTGCCTCTGGCACCGACGCGACTGCTCAATTCGAGTGCGAACAGGCTCGCAGCAGCCTGTGCGGCAACAAGACCATCGAGCAGGCCACCGAAGCCGGTAACTCTGGCTCTGGTTCTGGATCCTCCTCTGCCTCATCGAGCCCTTCTGCCACCAGCAGCGGCTCGCCCTCTTCAACGGGAGCCTCATCCTCTGGCGGCGCTGCTTCCAGCACCCCTTCCCCCGCCGCTGCTGCCAACCTTGCCCTCTACGGCACCACTGCTCTCGCCGGTGGTCTCTTTGCCCTCTTCGGAATGGCCTTGTAAATCAACAACAGGACACTAAAAGGGTCGCGGGCCGGTCCCTGTTGGACGGTGACGAGATGGCCTTGCGTTACTGCTATCAGCATAACCATGTGGGGACATTCGCTGGAGAAGGCTCATCTTCGTCGGCGTGTTAGCGTTGGCGTTTTATGGCTTTAGCTGTTTATCTTTGTGCATTTTCTTGTTCATCACTGCTGATGGTGGTTGCGGTCGCTCGGAGGATACTTAATGCGATGTTATGAAGCAACACACGACTTGTAATACCCAATACTACCAATACTGCTACTTTTACATTGTGCCGCACGGCGTCCCCCCCCATGCTGCATCTGTGCTCTCGTATGTTGTCGTCTGGTGATGCTTGTTGTCGGGACTTTGTTGCTAGTCGGCTGTCTCTGCTCGAATGCAATTGGCCGTTGGCCATGCATATTCTGCTGATCAACAAACGCCGCAGGTCCGACGCTGCAGATCCCATGACGCAAAGCTACCGAATTTCTCTCTAGCCCGTCGACATCCGCATCCGTATAAGCAGATCCATACCCACGCTCGACGATTTGTTGCCAAGTCCAGTTCCACCGTCAACAACGCCCTGACCGCCAGCCTTGGGACTTGGGCCATAGCAATTGAAGCTTTCGGCAACGCCGCATCACAAGCTGCCGAGGTCAGTCTGCCTGTCATCGCCCCAGCTCGTATACTGTTGTGATATTTAAGCTGCTGTGCAGCTGAAAATTTGTCTCCTTTTTTCATACTGACTGCGTAAAGACATCATAGGAACCCGCAAAAGTGGCCCTTTGCAAATTCGGAAGGCCATTATCGCTTGCCTCACACTTGCCTCACCACGTTACTCCTCGTTGTCTGCAAAACCCATATAAACGCACAGTCGTGCCAGATAGCGTCTTACACAACAACCATCTGCACCAAGTGACACACAAATACACAAAAATGGCATCCCTCGGTGTTGGTCGCAAGCACAAAGTCACGGTGGTCGGCTCCGGCAACTGGTATGTACTTGGCATGTGGAAGTGCTTAGCTGTGCTTTGAAGCTATGCAAGATGACTCGATAGCGGGGGGCATTGACTGACTGATAGTATAGGGGCACCACCATGGCTAAGCTAGTCGCCGAGAACGTCAAGGAGAACCCCTCTTTGTTTGAAGAAACAGTGCAGATGTGGGTGTTTGAGGAGGAGTACACAATCCCAAAGGATTCGCGTCACTACAACGGCTCGGACCAGCCTGAGAAGCTTTCCCAGCTCATCAACAGGGTCCATGAGAACGTCAAGTATCTCCCAAACATCACGCTCCCACCCAACGTCATTGCCAACCCCGATCTCCCCGATTCGTGCAAGAACTCTACGATACTCATCTTTGTGCTGCCCCATCAATTCATTGCGCGTTCATGCCAGCAACTGGTCGGAAAGATCCTCCCCTATGCGCGAGCCATCTGCTGCACAAAGGGTGTGGATGTCAGTGAAAAGGGCATCCGCTTGATGTCAGAGACGATTGGCATGACGCTCAACATCTACTGCGGTGCTTTGTCGGGTGCGAACATTGCATCTGAGATTGCCCAGGAGAAGTACTCCGAGACTACGGTGGCATACGACCCGCCACCGCTAGACTCGCGCCATCCCACCCCAAGTGGTTCACCCAACGCTTCTCAGGTTGACCTAACTGCTCACGTCGACCTGATTGACCCTAGCAAGTCAAAGCCCAGCAAGCGCTCTGCGCATCTGACTGCTCTACCCAACGAGTACCCGCCTCTGTCGCACGAAAACGTCCGCAAGCTCTTCCACCGCCCCTATTTCCATGTACACATTGTCAACGACGTCGCAGGTGTCTCACTCGGCGGTGCTCTGAAGAATATCATCGCCCTTGCAGCAGGCTTTGTGGACGGTCTGGGATGGGGCGACAACGCTAAAGCCGCTGTTATGCGTGTTGGCATCCTGGAAATGGTCAGGTTCGGCAAGGCCTTTTTCGGAGAGAGTGCGCGCACTAGCACATTCACCGAGGAAAGCTGCGGTGTTGCTGACGTTGTGACATCATGCATGGGTGGACGAAACTTTCGTTGCGCAAAGATGGCTGTCCAGCGCGGCAAGCCTATTGACGAGATTGAGCAGACAGAGCTTAATGGGCAGAAGCTGCAGGGTACTAGCACTGCCTACGAGGTCAATGAATTCTTGAAGGCCCAGGGTATGGAGGACGACTTTCCCCTGTTCACCGCCGTCTACAACATTCTCGAGGGCAAGAACAAGCCTGAGGATATCCCTCAGCTCATCGAGAAGAAGCCGTAAACTGGGCAATGTTTCGATTAGGAGGATGATAGCCGGTCAACACGTACAACCCGATGATTACATTCAGATGCGAATACCCCTTACGGTAGAATATTATCTCTATTGCATGACTATGATTACAAATCACATGGTGCGAGCCTTTGTGGGTTGCTGCGGCAATATACTTGTGCCTGATTACTTTGCAGCGGATACTTTTCAAAGCAGAATGCCAAGTTGATAGGCATGCATACTTATAGGCGACACGGAGATACACTCGAGCAACATGCTGATATCCGTATATCTACGGGCGCCGGACTTAAGACAACGCTGTTACCAGTCTTGGCAAGATCGACATCCTAGGCTTAGTCCGCGGATGGGTCGTTCCATGCCGGGATGCATGCAAGGCCATGTAGGTCTGTACATACACCTACTGCAGAGTACTCTAGAAGCATCGGCTCGGGACTAAATGGAGGGGTACCGTACATCCCATATTTCGAACAAACAGCCGTCATACCAGGTCAGGTACATTTGTCAGTCTTACCACTTGGCCCACAATATACGGGTGGAGAGTGACTCGCGTCTACTCCAAATATGCAGGGACACCTTCCTTAGTGGGGAATAATCAGTATCCTTTTTGCCTACAGCGGTGAGGTGAATTAGTAATGCAAGAAAAAGTTGGACCTCCAACGTTTGGATTGCGTGCGAGGTCGGTGAGAAGAGTGGGTGCACTTCGCAATTTAGCTCCTCGGCAAGGCACGTTAATCACGGAGCCAATCCGCGCATGACGACATGGCTTGCTTATCTCCGTTGCCTCTTGCTGTGTAATGTGGAAATTTTGGTCAAAGATGCCCAGGCTGGGCACATATCTTCTTTGGTCAACATTGCTCCTGCAGTGTACACCGTTTTGTCAGCGCACCTACGAGTGTACTTATGACCACACCTTCAGTCGGTCACTTTGGCGACATCATTGCAGCCCTTTTTCCCACCTTCATTTAATTCAGCGGTTTGATACCCAATTCCTCTCATTACAGCCCTGAAAATGTGGGGATCCTCCATTCCACCCTCGGAACGTGACAGTCGTCGTAACCCATGGCATGAAGACGATTATCTTCGCAATGGGAGAGAAGAAGCAGTGACTCCTGGTAGTCAAAGCGACGATAGTACCGATAATGAGCCTCTTGAACGGGCGGGAACATGGGGCGAACGCGATGCCGGAAAGCTCGACTCAAAAACTGCGGCAGAAGATCTTGAGGTGCTCCGAGGAGAACTTGCCTCGTTGTCCAGGTCACGATCACGCGGAGCCCAATCACATCGATCAGATGCTTTGTCCCGGACTGTTAGTAGGATCAGTACTCGACAGACCCAACGTCGAGGGTCGGTTTCACGCGCCGAGGAAGGCACAGGCGACGTGGAGGACGATAAGCCCGGTGACATTGGAGGTGCCCTCGCCAGCGAAAAGGAAGACGATTTCGAACTTGGTGAATTCATGCGCGAAGGACACTTTGAGAAGCGCAAGAATGGCCAATCAGCCAAGAAGGTCGGCGTCGTCTACAAGAACCTCACAGTCAAGGGCATAGGATCTACCGCCTCTTTTGCGAGAACCTTACCCGATGCTATCATAGGAACGTTTGGTCCAGACCTCTACCGCATTGTAACGAACCTGTTTCCAGCACTCAGGTTTGGAAAGAACAAGAATATGCGGACTTTGATTCACGACTTCTCCGGCGTTGTCAAGGACGGAGAGATGATGCTAGTCCTAGGACGACCTGGATCTGGTTGTTCAACTTTTCTCAAGGTCATTGCCAACGACCGAGAGAGCTATGCTGCTGTCGAAGGTGAGGTATCGTATGGCGGTATACCCGCCGACAAGCAGAGGAAGCAGTTTCGGGGCGAAGTCAACTACAACCCAGAAGACGACTCTCACATGGCTGACCTGAATGTGTGGCAGACACTCAAGTTCGCCCTCACCAACAAGACCAAGAAGCACGAGAAGCATGAGATTCCAATTATACTTGAGGCACTCCTCAAAGTTTTTGGTATATCCCACACAAAGTACACAAAAGTGGGAAACGAATACGTTCGAGGAGTCAGTGGAGGTGAGCGGAAGCGTGTCTCTATTGCCGAGACTCTTGCGACCAAGAGCACAGTAAACTGCTGGGATAACAGTACTAGGGGTCTTGATGCAAGTACTGCTCTTGACTATGCCAAGTCGTTGCGTATCATGACCGACATGAGTAATCGCACAACGCTAGTCACTTTGTACCAAGCAGGCGAAGGCATCTACGAGTTAATGGACAAAGTCATGGTCATTGATGCTGGCCGATGCATCTACCAGGGTCCAGCGCGTGCTGCAAAGCAGTACTTCATCGACCTCGGTTTCAAGTGTCCGGAGCGCCAAACCACGGCCGATTTCCTGACAGCAGTGACCGATCCCACCGAGCGTCAGTTCCGTCCTGGCTTCGAGGACAAGGCACCCAAGACGTCGGAGGAGCTCGAAAAGGCATATCGTGAGAGTGAGGCGTACAAGAGCGTACTGAGAGAGATACAGGAGTATGAAGAAGAGTTGGAAAGAAGTGGATATATGGATGCCAAAGAGTTTGAGGGAGCCGTCCGCGAGAGCAAGAGTAAGACTGTACGCAAGAAATCGCCCTTTACCGTATCCTTTGTCCGCCAGGTCATTGCTTGTACCCAGCGAGAGTTCTGGTTAACCTGGGGTGACAAGACGACGCTCTACACCAAGTTCTTCATCATCATCTCCAACAGTTTTATCGTCGGATCACTGTTCTACGGCCAAGCCATGGATACCTCTGGTGCCTTTACCCGTGGCGGTTCTGGCTTCTTTTCCATTCTCTTCCTCGGCTGGCTCCAGCTGTCTGAGCTGATGAAGGCAGTGTCTGGACGCGATGTTGTCAAACGACACGAGGATTACGCTTTTTACCGTCCCAGCGCTGTGGTTATCGCTCGCGTTGTACAAGATTTCCCCCTATTGCTTGCACAAGTCATTCCGTTCTCAATCATCATGTATTTCATGAATGGTCTCGACGTCGATGCTTCCAAATTCTTCATCTACTTTCTCTTCATCTACACCACCACGTTCTGCGTTACCGCGCTGTATCGCATGTTTGCTGCTCTATCCCCGACTATTGATGATGCGGTGAGATTTGCTGGTCTCGCACTCAATCTCCTCATCATCTACACCGGCTATGCTATTCCCAAGACGCAGCTGCTGGGCAAGTATATTTGGTTCGGGTGGTTGTACTGGGTCAACCCGGTCGGGTACTCCTTTGAAGCTGTTCTCACTAACGAGTTCTCTGACCGGACAATGGAGTGCGCTCCCAGCCAGCTGGTACCTCAGGGTCCTGGTGTTGACCCTGCTTACCAAGGATGCAGCTTGACGGGTGCACAACCGAACTCGAGATCAGTATCCGGTGCAGACTACCTCGAGGCGTCGTTCAGCTACTCGCGGGCAAATCTTTGGCGTAATTTTGGTGTTGTAGTAGCCTTTGCTGTGCTGTACATCTTGGTGACAGTGATTGCCACTGAGACGATTTCTTTTGCAAAGTCTGGCGGGGGTGCATTGATCTTTGCAAAGACTAAGCGTGCAAAGAACGTTGTCAAGGAAGATGGCCCTGTGGATGAAGAGAAGGTGGTGTCTGGTGAGTCGGTGTCGAGCTCCAACACTACTGCCCACGAGGAAGAGGCACTCGAGGCCATTTCAAGCAGTGAAAGTGTCTTTACCTGGAAAGATGTCGAATATACTGTTCCGTACCAGGGAGGTGAGCGCAAGCTTCTCAACAAGGTTAATGGATATGCGAAACCTGGTGTCATGATTGCACTCGTGGGTGCTTCAGGTGCAGGCAAGTCAACTTTGCTCAACACCCTTTCGCAACGACAGACAACTGGAGTAGTTTCTGGGGAATTCCTTGTCGATGGCCGTGATCTGGGTAAAGCATTCCAACGCGGAACTGGCTTCTGCGAGCAAATGGATCTTCACGACGGTACGGCCACGATTCGCGAAGCCCTTGAGTTCTCTGCTCTCTTGCGACAGGACAGGAAGACACCTCGGAAAGAGAAGCTGGACTACGTCGATAAAATTATCGAACTCCTTGAACTCGAGGATATTCAAGATGCGTTAATTGAGAGCCTGGGCGTCGAGCAGAAGAAGCGTCTAACCATTGGTGTCGAGCTTGCCGCAAAGCCCTCACTCTTGCTTTTCCTCGACGAACCAACGAGTGGTCTCGACAGCAACTCTGCATATTCCATCGTACAATTCCTCAAGAAGCTCGCACAAGCCGGCCAAGCCATTGTCTGCACCATCCACCAGCCCAGCAGTGTCCTCATCCAGCAATTCGATATGATCCTCGCCCTCAACCCCGGCGGCAACACCTTCTACTTCGGCCCCGTAGGAGAAAACGGCAAAGACGTTATCAACTACTTTGGCACTCGCGGCGTCCACTGCCCTCCAAGCAAAAACGTTGCAGAGTTCATACTCGAAACCGCCGCTAAACCCATCAAGCGCGCCGACGGCACCAAGATTGACTGGAACGACGAATGGCTTAGATCTCCCAACAACGCCCAGCTCCTCGAAGAAATCGAGAAAATCAAGTCATCCCGCAGTAAAATCTCTTCACCCACGCAGAACGCCGATGAAGGAAGCGACTCCGAATTCGCAGCCTCAACCTGGACCCAAACCCGCCTCCTCACGCTCCGCACTCTAACCCAATACTACCGCTCCCCCTCCTACCTCTACTCCAAACTCTTCGTCTCCCTCATCCTCGGCCTCTTCAACGGCTTCACCTTCTACCACCTCGGCACCAGCACCACCGACCTACAAAACCGGCTCTTCACCATCTTCCTCATCGTGCTCCTCCCACCCACAATCGTCAACGGCGTAGTCCCCAAGTTCTACTCAAACATGGCCTTATGGACCGCGCGGGAACTTCCCTCACGAATCTACGGCTGGACCGCATTCGCCACCGCCCAAGTCATCGCCGAGATACCAGCCGCCGTCGTATCAAGCGTCGTCTATTTCCTCCTCTGGTACTTCCCCACCGGTCTCCCCTCCGATCCCAGCACCGCGGGCTACGTATTCCTCATGACGCTTTTATTTTTCCTCTTCATATCCTCGTGGGGCCAGTGGATCTGCGCCTTCGCCCCCTCATTCACCGTCATATCAAACGTCCTTCCCTTCTTCTTCGTCATGTTCGGCCTGTTCAACGGTGTCGTGCGCCCGTATGCCGCCATCCCCGTCTTCTGGCGCTACTGGATGTACTATGTTAATCCTGCGATGTATTGGATTGCCGGCGTCCTGGCGGCGACCATGACCGGCGTGCCCGTCCAGTGCAGTCAGAAGGAAACGGCCGTGTTTGATACCCCAAATGCCATTTCCTGCCAGGAGTATGCAAGCGCGTTTTTGGAGTCGGCGTCCGGGTACCTCGTCAATCCGAATGCGACGGCCCGGTGCCAGTACTGTGCGTATAGCGTTGGTGATGATTATCTCGCCTCGCTGAATATCGCGGCGGGGGATAAGTGGAGGGATTTTGGCATTTTCCTTGCCTTTTGCCTGAGTAATTGGGCGTTGGTCTATTTTTTCGTGTGGAGTGTGAGGATTAAGGGGTGGAGCTTTGGGTTTGCGACTGTGTTTGGGGGGTTGGGCAAGGGGATTGAGAAGGTCAAGGGGATGATGGTGAAGAGGAACAAGGCTTGATCATGTGGACAGAGATAGGTGTGAGTATGTTTTGGAAATCGTAAAATTGCGTATATAGCCATATAATAGCAAATTGCCGCTAGCCCCATCGTCTTCCAATCGTCGTCAAGTCATGTCAGATGGTATTGTTTTGCCTGCCATGTTCCCCGATCCGTTTCGCCTTAACGCCATGTAAATGCCTGATGTCGCTTTTTTTTATTCTTCTGAAAAGCATTTCTATTGCGCATCTAAAACCTCTCCTTCATCCTGCCTGCAATAGTCCGCAGGTTGCCGTACATTTTGCTGGGGTTCTGTCCAAGGATCAAGCTAACAATGGACTCGCGGGCAATGTGGATGTTCTTGAAGCCGCCAAGGATATGAATTTTTTGGTCTGCGAGAACAACTGTTTTTGGTTAGCGACGGAGAGGGAACACGGACAGGAATCAAAACGTACTTCGTGTTCTGCTAGCGTTTTCAATGGCGAATTTGGTCTTGCCGTCCTTGCCGGCGATACGGCCAATGGCGCGGCTGAGATGTTCACCCGAGAGCGATTTTACATCCTTGATCTCAAATGTCTCAATGTACAGATCGTCTAGTCGGAGTAGCTGGAAGGGAATTAGTCACTTGTGTGCGAATACAAGGTCGTATGTGCATACCGCGATAGCGTCGTCTGTGTCGAAACCAAGAGTAAAAGCCTTGACGCTGCAGAGAGTCAGCATAATCCTGTAGTGTGTATACAGAGCGCTGCTCCACCCAAGACACCAACGTACAAATCTTCTCCCTTCTGCAGAGCGCCCGTGTCGGTGGTGGCGCTCGATGTGCGCAGCTCAACACTCTTGCTCTTTGTGTTCATGCGGACCTGAAGCTTGAGGTGCTCGACAAGCGGCGGGTAAATCTTGGGCCACGAGTTCTTGAGGGGAGTCATCCTGTGCGGCGGAATGGGCACCTTGCGCTGCTCGCGGCGGAAGGCGAGCGGTATCGACTTAGCGGCGGGGAACTTGGGCTTGCCGCTCTCGTCGACCATGGGCATATCTTCTTCGGGCGCATCCGAGGTTGTGTTGGGGGCGTCAACGGGGTCGATGCTCATGGAGATGAGGTCGCCGTCGGATTCGGTGGGCAGCGAGACGGACGAGGCTTCGAGGGCGACATTGTCGGCCAGTTCTTCGGGGCGGCGCTGGAGGGCGGTGGGAGCAGGCATGTTGTATATAATTTTTTTTTCTTTATTTCTTCCCTCTATATTGCAGTATGTGCGGGTGATGTCTGGTCAATTGGTGTCGTCGAGCGCGACGAGTGGGGCTGGTCAAGAAATTTGGAGAGGCGACGGGATGATGTGCCGAAAACGGACTAGCGGGTAAGTGTCCCTCTGCCGCCGCCTTCTTGTGCGGGCAGGCAAATCAATAAATGCCTGGGCAAATGAAATGACGTGAATCACAACTACCTCACTTAGTAACATATCAGCCAGGCCATTCACTCCCTCCTCTCCCTCTGTCCGCACCCACCTACTTTGCAGACGTCGACCATGTGCCCGCCGCGCTTATCATGAACAAGCATGTGCGAACGCTCGGCTTGCTGTGGCGCCCCGTCGCTGGCCCGCTGTTGAGAGAGGGCGCTGCCTTTGCCTGCCCTCCCATTCGACATGCTTTTTCGACCGCATCCACGACTCAACGCCCTCGCACAACGCCCTCGCCATGGCTAGCCTGCTTTCCCGCTGTCAATTCGCCCTATACACCAAGCGCCCAGCATAACATCACGAAGGTTGTCTTCGCAGCATGGACCCGACATGCCTCGTCAAAGGCCTCGCGCGCACTGAGAAGGAATACACGCAGCGACCGACGCAGCAAGAGCTCACTCACTCCGTCCTCTTCCGAAAATAAGCGTCGTCCCTCTGGCCAGGCACCGCAGGCAAATCTCTCGCCCCAGCCGAATGCGCCACCAAAGCCCTCGCAGCCAGAGCCAGAGCCAGAGCCAAAGCAAGAAGCCGACACTCCAGGCACTTCAAAGCCCCTCCTCGACCGCCTGCCCCATCACCTCCCGCACATATACCGCCCTACCAAGGCTGAGCTGCTTGCCGCTGCCTCGGGCTTCTGGTCACGCATCAAGATCCACTTCAAATGGCTCACCATCCGGAGCACTCGTCCCTTTAATGCCGATGAGATATATGCCCTATTCTCATGGATCATTGCCGCACACGTACTGTGGATTATCCTGGGAACCACGACCTTCTTCATGCTGACCATCTTCCTCATCAATACTGCTTTCTCTCAAGAGACAGTTGGCAAGTGGATTGGTAACTATCTGACAAAGTCATCGGGCATCAAAGTCGTCTTCGAGACTGCCGTAGTGCCCAAGTGGGGAGACGGCGTCATTTCCTTCCGCAATGTCTTTGTCTCGCGCCGCCCCGGACAGGGTACAGGAAAGGTCAGCAAAGGTTCGCATACGGAGATAGCTGCTGCCGCCGCCGCTCGGGCTCAGCATAGCAAGGACGCACATGACGGAACTCCGGCCAAATCCGAACCAGAGGAAGACACAAACTACACCCAGTTCGACATCTCCATCGACACGGTCAACATCACCTTGTCCTTCTCCAAATGGTTCAATGGCAAAGGCTTGTTGGAGGACGTTGAGATCAAGGGCATCCGTGGGGTAGTTGATCGAACTTCAGTGCGCACTATTGAAGGCGTCGACCCGAGGTCGTACAAGCACGAGCACCAACCTGGAGACTTCGAACTCGACTCGTTCAAGATGGAAGATTTGCTGGTGACTGTATACCAGCCAAACGGCTTCCGCCCCTTTTCCGTCAGCATCTTCTCCTGCGACCTTCCCAGACTGCGGAAACAATGGCTCTTTTACGACTTTCTCTCTGCGAACATGATGTCTGGATCATTCGACAACTCCCTCTTCACTATCCATCCCCGACAAACCCACAACTACACAGGTGCACAACTGAGCAGCGGTCGCGCCTCCGAGAACGGCAGCTCTTGGAAGAAGCACAGCCGGATACGTATTGATGGTCTGAATATTGACCATCTCAACCGCGGTTACGAGGGCCCGTTTTCCTGGATCCATGAAGGAAACGTCGATATTGTTGCAGACGTCATGTTCCCCAACGACAATGACGACAGCATTGCCAAGGTCATGTCTGACATGTACGACCGGGTTGAAGCCACTGTCACTCAGCAGCGCAAGCATCACTTTTCCGACCATGCTGTCCATGGCTTTGATGAACACCATCACGACGAAAACTCTGACGCTGAACAAGGAGAGGAGTCGCGTTACATGATCATGGACATGCGTGTCCACCTCAACGACGTCCGTGCCGCCGTCCCCATCTTCACCAGGGACATTTCGTACGTCAACAATGCTCTTGTGCGGCCTATTGTCGCATACATCAACTCGAGCCGTAGCTTCATTCCCGTCAACTGCAGAGTGGTCAAGAAGGTCAGCGAGTTTGACGGCAGTTGGACACTGTACGACAGCGGGTTGATGGAGGAGGTATCGAAAGAGGTAAGATAGATTCCCTGGCATGAGACTCGCAACGATGTGCTAACCTTTTCAGATGTACGATGCCTTTGCCCGCGACGTCCTCGAGGACAGGACCACACGCAAGCGGCGCATAAAAAAGGTAGGCATCTGGACCTTGCAACTCGCAGCTCAAGCCCTCTTTCTCGGCCTCGCCGGAAACATTGCCTAGACACGATACCCTTTGACGGATGAACATGCAACGAAATGAACGAAATAAACAAAAATAAAAGCACCTCTCTCTCTTCTTTTTGTATTATACCATACACGTATACAGATACACGTGGGCAAACGTACGGCGTTTAGGGTGCAAAGGGACTCGGGTTACACACAACATGGGGATTGTTTGTGCGAATGGCGGGCTACTACTAGTTTAGTTTTGTTCTTTAACGTCTGATATAGACACTTTGTGGATATGACTGAACGGAATTCATGGATTAACGGTCTTTTTTTTCTTTGCTCGTCTACTTCATCAATCATATCGCATCCTCACTCATCAATCATATCCTTACTCATCAACCCGCCCAACAAACACACCACCAACCTCCCTGCCCCCCTCCCCCCAAACCCGCTCACAAGGAACCCACTGTACCCCTCCTATCTTCGCCAACACACCTCCCACCAGTCGCTCCCCCAAACTCACTGAACCCCGCGCTATATACAGTGTGCCCATGCTCCATTTCCGACCTGCCAAAACATCGATATCTTCCTCCACCGATAACTCCAGCGTGAAAAATCGACTCGGACCATCTTCCACAGCAGTCATTGAAGTCGCAGGGCCATCTCGCGAGAAAGCAATATGCGGAGAAGTAAGCCCCATAGCACTCCATTCAACATGTACATTGCGGGGGAGTGAGGAGATTTGAACGACGAAGCAAGGCGGGATTGGGATTGGGATTTGTACTTGTACTTGTTCGTTGGATGGTTGCAAGGCGGTGTAGTCTGGGATTCGCGGGCGGATGGACTTGTCTGAGAAACAAGAAGAAGAAGAAGAAGTGTGGTTGTTGAGTAAGTCCCAAGGGTCTATATCTTGGGATTCTAGGGTGTCGTCTGAGGAGGAGGTGGTGGTGTTGAGGTGGGAGGATAGGTGGATGGTGCGCCAGGCTTGCTGGATTATGTGGATGGCAGAGGAGGAGGAGGAGATGCAGGAAGAAGGGATGTAAGCGACACCGCTGGTCCACCATTTCACACCTTTCACAGCGCCGATTCGGCACAAGTGTTGCAGTGAAAGTACGACTTGGCCCGCAAACCCGTGTGTGGTGTAAGGAGACATGGAGGCGGGGTGGAGGGGGATTTGGCCGGCGATGTAGACGATGTCGCCTGCTGTCTTGCCTTCTTCCCTTTCTGCATCCGCGTCTCCGTCTTCGTCGCTTGCAGCGCCGGAGCTGGAGCTGGGTAAGGGTGAAGTGGGCAGGGCGGTAGAGATGGCCTGACTATATGGCCCAATATTCGCAGGAGCCCAGTAACTCATGCTCTGCACATGCAACCCTTCTCTTTTCTTGCTCCGCTCTGCAATCACGCTGAGCATCACGTCTACGCCTTCCGGCATTGTGTCGGAGCAGGCGACGGTGACGCGGGAGGGGGGGTTGATGAATGTGAAGAAGGAGGCGTAGATGGGGTTTAGCGTGGTGAAGTGCGACATGGAGCGGAGGAGGAGGGTGGTGTGGGTTATGTTGCATTTTTGGACGTTGTGTTGGTGGAGGTGATGGTCGAGGAGGAGGAGGATGGAGGTGAGTTGCTGGGATGGGGACGATGAGGTGGGGGAGGTGAGGTTGGAGATGGTGAGGAGGGTGGGGGTGGAGTGCATGGTGTTTGTAGGTAGGACGTAGGACGGGTTGGTAGTGACCGCGATGCTCTGCGTGGTATTATCCACCGCCTCAATTTTCATCTGGTCAGTACTTTCCACCGTCTCCAACACCTTTGCAAACTCATCATCAAACACCTCCGGCACCCTCAGCGCCCCTACATCGCCCATCTCTGTCTTCTCCTCTACCCAACTCTTCGCCACCTTCAGCACCGTCTGCCCCCCCTCCAACACCACCGCCTCCCCCTCAACCCGTATCTTCTTTTTCCACAGCGGCCCCGGCCCATCCACCGCCAGCGTCTCGAACTCCCCCCCCTCACCCAAAATCGCCCCAGCACCCACTTCCTCCCCAAACATGCCCATCGCCTTACTCAACCGCGCCACAGCGACGGGCCCACCAGCGACATCCAGCCCCAAAAAAGAAGCGTCGAGCCCGCCAGAAGCCGTCTTGATGATAATTGCTTGTTGCCCAACGGCACGCATGTCGCGCAAGAGCGCAGACTGCTCATACGGCGGGAGCAGCGGGTACTGCCACAGGTACGCCAGCGGCGTGAGGCCAAGTCTCAGTGCTACGGATTCCACACGCGTGCGCTGGTAGGTGCTTAGGATTGCGCCGGTGGATATGGCGTTGGCGGTTGGATGGGCTTGCATTATGCGTTTGAGCAATGGGATAAGATCTTCCGTCTCATCTTCTTGCTTGTCCCCATCTTCCTCTACGATCTCTTGCTGATGAGTGTCTGACTTTTGTTTTTCAACTTGCGTCTGCTGAGAAGAAGAAGAAGAAGAAGAAGAAGAAGATGGCAACGGCGCTGTGTAATCCCTGTTGGAATCGACTGCTGTACCCGTGATTTGTCGGCGGTACAGCGGTAGATCCAACGCCTGCGCGTACAGAGGGACTACAGAGTGGCCGACCGTTTGGTACATGTAACTATCTGTGTCTTGTTCTTCGCCATTGGGCAAGGGCCCTGGGTGCAGGTTGGCCAGGGCCACGACGCGGTGGCCGTTTGCCTGACAGTGGAGTATGGAGAAGAGCGAGTCTTTGCCTCCCGAGATCAGCGCGATAACATTTAGAGATTGCGCCATGGCGCCGCCTTGGGTCGTGAGTGAAGGTTAGCCGCTGCTGCTGCCGCCGTCCGCCGGGCTGGGCTGGACTGGGCACACGAACAGAAAAAAAGGCGCAGCAGAAGAAGTAAAAAAAGTTAAGGCTCGGACGCTGCGGCGAGGGTGCGTTGAGGCGGCCCGATGCAGTCGAAGTGCAAATGCAGGTTGAAAGTGGTATTACTCGCTAAAGTTGCGCGCTGCCGCACGCTAGAAACGGGCATGAATGTTTTCCAAAAAAAGGAACTCACGCACTGCTGACAGGCTTACTACTACTTGCGGGTAAGTGGTAAGTTAATGCTCAGGAACAATCTGTCCACCCACCCTTCCCCCCGTCACCGAACTGATCACCTAAGACCTAGAGCGGAAGAAGAAATGGCTAGCACTCAACTTTATGCATTACGCGGCTTCACTCCAGTTCACATGCAAGGCGTTTGGAAAAAGTAAGAGAGAAAGGATAGAGGCCGGAAGTGTCGGTGTAACGCATTTTTTGCTATGTATGATAGTCGGACAGTGCCAGCACCGTTAACCTACCATTGGGGCTACGATAGAGCTTTAATAAGGGGGGGTAGGTAGTAGGGGTGGGTGTGGTGTTTGTGCTGAGCAGTTCAGACGATTACATGTGTGTATGATTTGAAGAAGAAAAGAAGCGAAGATTCCCAGAATGTCAGAGGCGGCGAATGCCGGGAGGATGTTGGATTCCATCCCGACAATGCCCCAATTACAACGAGTGATGATGAACAATTGAGGGCAACGCGGCGACAAGTGGCCGGTGGCGAGTAGGGTAATTGGCCATGTCGTCATGAGAAAAAAAGAACACCCAAGCGAAAAGGAAAATGAAGAAGGAAGAGAGAGAAAAAAAACCAAATCTAATCCCGTTTCTTCCCATGGTTTGCCCTCCAGTCTCCTCGCTCCAGAACCCCGAAGAAACGTACCAAACCGACGCGCAAAATGAAGTGTGGAAAAAAAAAAGAAGAGGCTAATATCAAAGTGTGTGCCACCAAGATCGGACGCGTAGAATACAAGAGGTGAAGTGAAGCGAGGGGCGACTCTTGGATGGATCTGAATTGCTTCAGACCGCTCAAGTGCGAATCTTCGCCGCCTGTCTAGCCATGACGCCTTTGCGTATCGACGTCAAGGAAGACTAGCAGTCACCTCGCGTAATGCAAGTTTCTTCTACCAAGTGTTGTGAATGTCATGAAGGGTCGTTAAATGTTGAAAGGCAGGAAACGCGACTAAAAGCAAATGCCTACTCGTTCCTCTTGCGCTTCTTCTGGCTGGGTGTTGACTCGTGCTCGGATCCATCGGAGCTTGACGTGGGGATGTCTGCAGCAGCGTTGTAGAGAATCTCACCCATGGTGGAAGGAGCCTGCGCACCAAACGCGCTACCTTGGCCATGTTGCATGTCGGTGTGGTGGAAGTCGGAGCCCATGACCTCAAGGCTGACAGCGCCAGTTCCGTGGGTGCGCTGGTGCTGGGAGAGGTTGTCACTCCTGGAGAACTTCTTACCGCAGTCAGTGCACTCAAAGGGCTTGTCGTGAGTGTGGAGAGAGCGGTAGTGGCGCTTGAGGTGTTCCTGGCGGCGGAAGCGGCGGGAGCAGAGAGTGCAGACAAATGTCTTGGATGGGTCGTCGGTGAGCGACTGCTTGCGACCACGGCGGCTGGTGGGGGCGACAGGAGTGGTGTTCTCGTCAGAGCTGGAGGCGACGGCGTTCTCGGCTTGACCTGATTCTTGTTGGCTTGAGGCTCCAGACACGGTGTGCTCATCACCTGATGTCTGTTGCTTACCCTGGAAGTCAGACTCGGTCTCGCTGAAGGCGGAGCGGGCCTTCTTGACTGTTTGCCTCTTGACTGCCGACATGGTGTCGAACTCGCTAGCGGCGGGGGTGAGAGGCAGGCTGTGGACAAGCTCCTCCTCAAAGTCGGTGAAGCTCTCGTCGCTCAGGAAGTCGTCCTCGGGGGAGAAGGCGCCAAGGTCAGTGCGCTGGCGCTTGTTACCGAGGAACTGGGTGTTGTCGGTGGAGAAGTTGACAAGGCCGTTGAAGTCGTCTTCGCAGTCGAGCTCGAAGAGGGGCTCGAAGGTGGGAAGGCCGTTGAAGCTGAAGGTCTGCACAGACTCAATGTTGTCAATCTTGGCAGTTTCACCCTTGAGAACAACCTTGTGCTCCTCGTCACCGGGGCAGAGAGTGACAATGGGCAGTTCAGAAGCAGCAGAGACGGTAAGATCGCGGGGGTTGCAGAAGTTGTTCTCAGCCTCGGCGACGGTAGCGCGGGGAAGAGGTGAAGGAGATGGGGAAAGAGATGGGCAAGAAGTTGCGGAAAGAAGGTATGAACCCTGGTTGACTGAAGGAGGCTGGATGTATACTGGTGTAAAAGTCAGCGAGCGCGTTCACACATACATTTCACCTGGTTGATTGTGGACGAACAAGCCACGCAACCATTATGGTTTTCTTCAGTAGTGGGCAAACTTACCTGGTGTCATTGGTGGGGTGGTTGAACGCCACTCGAGGCCGGCCGAAAGGATCTCAGAAAAGACCTCGCCTTCGCAGCCCTGCTTTACACCCTCCATGCCCTCACCGGGGAACATGTCGTGGAGAGGAGTGGGGAGGATGTCGTACGAGGAAGGGCTGCTGGTGCTGCTGCCGCATGATGACAGAGGAGGAGTAGCGGGGGAGAAAGAGTAGTCGGTGTCAATGGGGTGAAGGTAAGGGGAATCCTGAGGTTGGATCAGGATGGCTGGCTTCTGGTACATTGGCTGTGGCGACGCGACTGGAGTCATCATTTGGCTAGCGTAGGCAGTCTGAGGGTAGGACATTTGTGAGTTTGCTGATGCAGGCCTCTGGTAGTACATGTTGTGTGGCTGAAAGGTTGATTGTCCTGAAGGGTGTGGTGTGAAGTGGCCGTGCTGGCGGTTGTTCTCGCCTTGAGGATCTGGGTTGTAGTAGAAGAATGGTGATTGCATTGCTTGGGTAGGGTGAATAGGGTATGAACCATCCATTGCAGATGGCTGTGTTGTGATGGTGGTGTATGAGGTGAGTGTAGTAGTAGTAGTAGTAGTCGTTGCTTCAGTCCGATAGTTGGTTGGATGGATGAGGGATTGTGTGTTGTATCGAGTGAAGATGGAAGACGTGTATTAGTAGTATGTAGTGTAGGGTGTTGGAAGAGGCAGGATAATGGTTGAAGAGAGAGAGAGGGAGTGGAAGGAATGACTGGGGAGCGGTTCGCAATAACGAGACCGTCACTTAATAGATATTGTAGATCAAAGAGTGTGAGGGCACAAAATTATGACCCAAGATGAAATGGTGAACAGCGATGGCGGAAAGAAACGAGAGGGACGTGGTTGATGAACCTTGGACCAGGGCAGACCAGTGAAAAAGAGAACTGATGCGCACACGCTCCAGGACGGCTCGCTTTAGTGCGTCGGGGCGCAGCGTGCTCCACATGCCAGCTAGGAATGGGATCCTGCGTTAGACCCTCGCCTTGACTCGCGTCAAAAGCAGCGAGTGCATTGCGGCCAGGGTTTGGGGCCTAAAATTATTCGCCCAATGCATAGCTGCACGGGGCTATAGGCGAAATGAGATGTGCACGGCGGCGCCGGCAGGCGTGCAGGTATTGGCTGGCGGCCAGCCCAGGTGGCATGGGATGGAGGGTCGGCCTACCACGCATACGTAGCCACTGACTGTACCGCCGCCCAGTCCGGATGGCAAAGCCACCCAAGCTGAAGAGAGGCGACGGAGGTTTTTTTGCAGTAGTACTCTAGCCAGCGGCACGGCTGGGTGTGGGTGAGTGTGCGTGTGCATGGCATTGGTGTAGTGCAGTGCAGTGCAGTGTAGTGTAGTGTGCAAGTGTGTGAGGCGAACAACGGCCAGTCATGGCGAGTGGAGACGGTGCTGAGACTGCCGCTGCCGCTGGTGCTGGGGGAGTGGGAGCAAAGACGAAGAGGGTGGGTATATGGTGTAATAGGCGGGTGACAGGCAAGTGTGCGTGTGCGTATGTGTGTGTGTGGGTGGTGGGTGTGTGGTGGGTGTCTAACCTAACCAGAACCACAGGCATGCCCTCTCACACGACTCCAACTCGCCTCGAGATTAGCGTGCTGCCGGGTTTCATTCAGGCTATCCTGCTATCTGCCAATCGATAATGATAACTGCCAGACCCTGGCACCCAGTGTTTTGAAACGACCATTCAGCGTTACGGCCCTTCCGCTGCGGATGACGATTGCCGGGTGATTGTGATAACGCCGCGCGCGCCCTCTACCGTGTCTGTCACACCAAACAACGCCGTATCGCCCGCAGTATCACCGTCGTCGACCACTTGCAGAAGCAAATGTAACGCGGTGCCCATGTCGTTTTGTCGCTCGCTGACCACGGCGCCGCCTTGGGCCTTGGGCCTGAAGACTGACTTGGGACTGACCTGGGACTGGACTTGGGACATGGGAGGCGTCATGCAAGAAAAAAAAAGACGAGGGCGACGAGGGCGGCGAGCGAGGGCGAAAGCAAACAACCTTCGCTATGCTTTCCCTAACATGTTGGGCCCGTCGAGCAGAGTGTGGTAGCCATGTCTCACGAGCGAACGAAGAGGATGCAAGGTCAAAGTCATTCAACTGCAGCGCGCCATGCTTGCCGTCCGTTAGCCACACCACAGGCATACAGTACACACACACACAAGGTCAAGGTATGTCTGCATCTGATCCATCATTCATTGCCACAGGCGCCGCGCGACACACTGGCTGGTGGAACGAAGACTCGGCGCGCCGGGCTCACGCAGGAACGTCAGCCATGATGCAAGAGCAAGAGGCGTGCATGGCCCTGCCAGCTGGAGCAGTGGAAGCAGCCGGGCAGGGCCGTCTCCCAGTGGCTACAAAGACGGCCACGGCCCATGGTGCGACATTGTCGTGTGCGGTGAGCTGCACGTCGCCACCAGTACCGTTCTTTTTCCTTCCTACTCTGCCCACGGCCAAAGCCCTACGACGACATGGAGGGGAGTGGATGGGATGGATGGGCATAGCTATAGGCACGCTTGCCCTTGGGGCCTGAATCCATGGTGCAAGTCTGTTTCAGAGCCCGGTTTGCCACATGGCCGCCGGCCGAGTACGACTGCGTATATACCAGCATTGGCAGCAAATCGCAGCCGGCGAGCAGCGTGTGCGTGGAGTGTGGGGCCAACCTGGCGAGGGCATGGCATGCGGGAATTGCGATGCCGTCGTAGGTTGTAGGGTGCTCCCCTCGACATGTTCTATCTATGGACGAGGGCCAACGGGCGTGGGTTGTTGGCTGGCAACGCCTGTGATGCTGACCGTCCATCCATCCATCCATCCATCCATCCATCCATCCATTCATCCAGCCTCGACACAATGGCGGTAAAAAAAGTTGTGCGGGCCGGGGTGCTGGTGCAACTGGCGGCACAAAATAGCAGCGAGCTATTGAATGCAGCGGATGCAGAGTTATGAAGCCGCCGGCGAGACCTAAATGGGCGGCGTGGTAAAAGCGGCGGGAGGGTGAGGTGCGGGACAGGCGGCGGTGGTCGAGTCGAACAGGCCCGATCGTATCCGCCAGGCCGTCTTCCCCCACATTGGCCGCACAGCTGATTGACCCAGAGGCGCGTCTACTGCAGGAACGATGCAGGAACAAACGACTGCACTCTATCTGTCTATTCTATCCCATCCCATTCCCTCTCTGTACCCGTCTACATACGCCTGCCTACTAAGTGCTTGCCCTACTTATACTAGTCCGCACTTGCTCTACCTTACATACATACAAACATACACTACTGCTCTACCCTACCCTACCCTACCCTTCCCCTACATACACACACACCCACACCGTCTTATCGTCGACCCCCCCTCCCCAGGCCCTGCCCATCCTTCCCCCCGCCCTCTCTGACCGCCCCCTCGCCCGCCGCCGGCCACTTACGCTGCCTCTGCTGTCAGCGGCTTCACATGCGAGAAGTGCAATTTCTAGAAGGCCACCGCAGCGGGGCCGTGTTACGACTCGACAGGGTCCCGATGCGATTCACGCTGGCTGACAAAGGGCCATGTCTGCCTCTCTGCGGTCGAGCGTATGGGCTGCGAGGGTACGAGTGGATGCGTAAAGGGTCGTGCGTGGTCCTGCCACTGCTTCGGCGCCGGGGAAGTCGTCGTGGCTTCCATAGCTTCGGCCCACCTCGCCCACCAAGCACCAAGCGCCAAGCCCTCTCTGTCTCTCTCTCCACCACCTCCACCCAAACCTCCACCAAGTCGCCGGCTCAGCCCTCGCATTGGCTGGCTCGCCCAAGGCCCTGATCTTCGACCATTCCAGGAAGGTTTCCAGGCTGGCGGGGTCGTGGCTTCCATGCCGCTCGCCCTCGCCCTTGGCCTCGCCCATGGTTTGGACTAGGCCCATCGCCGCTAGGGCTGCCTTTGACTCGCTCAAATGCCCTTCGGATGCAATGCCATGACACCCGGCTTGACCATCAACTTTGTCCACCGACACCTGTGCCACTCGTCTGATCGTGTTTGTCCGCCATCCATGCCGCGCCCAACCCAACGCGACCATCCATCCGCCTCCGCGAAAGCACGTCTACTCACGACGCCTGCATTGCGCGACCGCCGCAAACTCATGGCCTGACTCTGTGCCTCACACCTGCACCTGCACCTCAGCCTGCACCGTGTCGCTGTCCTTGCCCGACTATCGGCAGCCATGACGGACGTCAACTGTCGCCCAGACGCTGAACGTCTCCAAGCCCACCAAACTCGACGCAACCCATTCCCACTCTTTGCTCCACCCTGCCTGCTGGCTGGCCTTTTGAAACGCGGGCAAGATGATGCCATTGCCCCAACTCTGCCGCAGCAAGTGACAAAACGGCCATGTCATCCCAATCAGGCAGCTGCCAGGCGGGCAGATCGCAGATTTCGACCTGTCCGTCTGTCCATGTCTGGAGGCTCGTGCTGAACAGACCTGCTCTCAAACGAAATTCGCGTTATGCTGAGCGCAGGGTCTAGGGTCGTTTGCAATCTCCCTCCGTGGCTCCGTGTGGGTGCCGTCTGACTGGTCCCCGGCGTTGGAGCTTCTGGAATATGTGCCTTCCCCACAATTTGCTGCTGCTGGGTGCTCAGTGCTGAATGCATGCAAAAGTGCTATGCAGTGTCGTGTCATGGCAGGCCCAGCAAGACCCTTCGTGTAGAGCAAAGCGCAGCTCAGGCATGCCAAAGGCCAATGTCTGATACGCAAGACATCGGTGATAGACACATGTCTCGTCTGGACCACACGGCAAGTGGAACTGGCACCAGGCCCGCGTTCTGGAGCCGTCGTGGCCACTGCCGGTCCGGCCGGCCTGACCCAAGTCCAGCATACGAACAGGCGGTCGAGGTCCATGTAGCCTGCCTGCATCTTGCAACACAGACACGTGGGCATCTGTCGCCATGGTCACTCTATGATAAGCCCACGGCGAAACCAGTGACAATCTGGGCTTAGCCTCGAAATAGGTTCTTCGGAACGACACTGCCCGCGTAATCCATTGCCCAAAGTCTTCAAATGGCGTCTCTACTATGCAAATCTTTGGTAAGTCGCGTCTTGGCTGGTCATCCAAATCTCTGCCAGCCCTCCGCACGTCTGTGATTCGACATTGTGACTGTGACTCGTAATAGCCAAAAATGGGCTCAACAAAGTGACTGGGGCGTCGCAGCATCGGCAGCAGAAGCACTGTTGCTTGCTTGCTTGCTTGTTCCATCCCAGGGTCTCTCTTGCACCTGTAACGCTGCGGGCCAAACCGTCCGTAGACGGCTAGCAACAGTGCTTTCCCAGACGAGCCAACAGGTGGTTTACAGCTAAAGTCGCCGATCCAAGCGCAGATCTTGGGCAGACGAGCATGACAGGGTCGACGATCGCAATTCCAATGAACACATATCCGCGCAGCCGCATCCAGTTTTGTGCTCTGCTCGGCCAACTAAACAAATGTGATGAGCATACAGAGTTCGATTTGGCATGTAACAGTAGTACGCAAACTACGTATGTGGTATCGTGGGAGCTGGATACGGGGCTGTAGTGACGTCGTCGATTGACGTAAAAGTAGTTTGCATTTGAAATTGCCGGGTAGTAGGCAGCCGACGCGCATCCAGCACGACTACTTTAACGTAGTTACTCTACAGGTAGTACCCATGATTCACGGCCGGCTGCTTTTCTACGTGGGTGGTTGTATGAGGAAGGTATCAAACGGTCTGGAATCTCTTTTACGAGCACACTGAACAAACCCCCGGGAGCAGGCTCGATCAAATTTCGAGTCGGTGAGCAATCCGCGGCATAACACCGCAAAGTGCCGTCCGTCGGTGTCGCGCGAGCTTGGCCCGTGACGCTCAGACACACTCCAATAGCCGTGGGACTGCAGTGCGCAGGCACAAGAGCCGAGATACCTACAAGAGCAGAGTACATAGCCGAGAGGAAACGAGGCGCCAGGGCGGGCTGTAGCTATGCACAGGGTATGTAAAGTGGCAACTGTGTACATAATACCGCGGACCAAAGAAGCCATCAATGGCGGCAACACGTCGAGGCATGAATTCGGAAAGCAAGAATAGGATAATACTGTGTAATGCTCCGGTATGTGCACCCATAGCCGTGGGTCTCCCAGGCTTTTCCATCCTCGCTGAAACAAGCGATGACCAAAAGGCCGTCTGTCTGAAGCAGCAACAGCCGCCATTGCGAAGTCGCCCATGAATGCCTGGCACCCAGTCCGTTTCACAGGCCTGCGCATCCTGTCAAATGCGCGAAACATACAGGTGTCAGTGAACGGTCGCGTCTAGCTTCCGCATCAACAGCTGTAACAACCGCGTCGGCACTCCGAACACACAGACAAAAAGACCACGAGGGGGGGAGACGGGTCGGGGAACAGGCCTCAGAAGGTGGTGATGAGTTGTAATCAGTCGCGGCCAATTTGGCTACGTCTTACTCTTCCTATCTTGATATAAAATATTCATCAGCGGCCATGAAGAAGAAAAAAAAGAAGAAGGCCGGGCCAAGCCAACACGAAAGAATTTTGACCTTGTCTCGCTTCGCCGCGATTTACCCGACCATCACGTGATGCGGTGGTCTGTCGGAGAAACTGGACCACCGGCGCTAGTCACGGGCCAGAAATAAAAACTCGACTCGACTGCGTACAGCTTCTGTTCGTTATGCGGCGCAGGTCGATAGTCCGTTTCCCCGGTTGCTTGAGGGTCATTATTCCATGGCCCTTCATGTGTCGTTGACCTGCCAGAGTGAACATATTGCACAATCTATCATATACACTTTGTGGCGGCGCCTGTACTTTTCGTTTAGTGGCGTCTTCACTGGAAAAAGATAGAACATACATATTCGCGTGACACTTGGCAGCTTTTTTTCTTTTTTTCTTCCATTTATTTCTCGCCAACAAGCGGCATGAAATCTCGCTTGATGGCGGAAATAATCTAAGCTGACAAGAATTGCTGTATACGCTGAATGCTGCAAAACACCGAGATTGCAATTTCTCGTCGCCCTCGGTGTGTCTTGCCAAAGTTGGTGTGTGTCACCGTTTGAGCTGAGGCCTTGTTCCGTATCCCCGCATGCTTTGTTTCACGTGAAAAGATTGCAATCACAGTAAAACAAGCAGACCCCAAAGGTTCTACCTTGCATGCGTCTTTTTCTTGGTCTGACTGCACATGCTCATTTCCATACACTCATGCTAAGACTGGGGCTTCTCTACAGTATCAGAAAGAAAAAAATCGCCCGAGTGGCAACATAGACCTTTCTCAACCATTTCTCATGTTTCACGTGAAAAAAAAACAGCCTTGGCAATGTGCAATGTTTCCCGTTTGGCAACCTCCAACAAGCAGAACGAACAACTTGTTGACTGTGATCGGCCTTGCAGTATCATGTGCTGTGTCACATTGAATTTTCTTACTGTGAGACTGTATTTCTGATTTGCAGAGTGTTTGGCCTGCAAGGCTGAATTTTCGAAATATTGATTTTGATTATTTGTAGAACATTCAGTATAACTATACAAACTACTAAATTAAATAGAATAAAAATAACCACCAATCTTTATGGCCTGTCCGTCTAACCGGACCCCACGGCTGTCAGTATACTGCGTACGTCACAAGCATCCACTCAGACCAATACAGAATCATGCTCGTCATCTATTATGTGCTGCGGATGATGGCGGCGGCGGCGGGGAAATGCTGCATAAGCGCTGCTTCTCCGATATCCACCCACATGCAGTCTACATGCATGGATCGCCAGGAACCGGGAGAAACGACGGTGCAAAGCATATTAATACTTCATTCGTCTAGCAGACTGCAGTAAACATCAAAACGAGAACGCATGTCCGCATTGAGTTGTAGCTATTTTCTGATGCACACGTAATCACGCTGGCGTGTCACATTAAAAGGTTAAACAAAAAGCAACTAGCATGTTATCGGTGTTTTTATTCAACAAGTCAAACTTATTTGATATTAATGTAGAAAAGGAAGACTATATCTCAACCTGTTTCTCACTTCAAACTGCTACTCACAATTAGAGTAGCAGTCGATATGTAGACGATGAATGGTGCGCTCAAGAAACAGCGTGCATCGTGGATTACCTGGTGTGATGTCACCTGAGTACTGTGTCCGTGCGCGGAATGCGCGGATTCGCGCAATGCGCCGAACCACCAAAAACAGCTCCACCAAAATTGAGGCTGCCGCACCACGTACAGTAGTAATTATCATGTAAGAAAACACAGAAATACTCTACTAGGTCCTAGTATCATATTTCTGCCTCAAATTTTCTGCGAGGAGCGATTTTGCGGCCACGGGAGTTGTATACAGGTGGAGGTGTTGGAGAACGCTCATGTGCAACCACACGACTACGCGCATCCCTACTACCACGCTTCTTC